GTGGGGAGTTGTGCAGCCTAATATAGGGGTCATTTGGAGAAGGAAAGGGAGTCTTTTTGCCTGCTAGTCGTAGTCCTTAGTCAGCGCTTTGCTGTAGGATAGATTAGAGAGCATTTTGTGAGGGTTTTGGAGAGATTTTCATGTGTAAAGTGAGGAAGGTTTGAGGAAAGCAGCAATGAGATTTGGAGATCCTTGGGGGAAGCATTCTTAGCCCTTTGAAGAGAGGGGAAAGCTAAGTATTGTATACTATTATATTTGTATTTCAGTAAACACAATTCTATAGTGGATTTACTTATTTTCAAAGATGTTTTGTGGTCTTTTCTCAATGCTTTCTGAGTAGCCTTTTTACTTTTTTTCTTGTGATGGTTAAGTAGGTTATGTAGGAATGGAAAGTGATTTAAAAATTGGTTTTTAATCTTGAATGTGATAAATATTATTTTGAATTTCATTTACTTTTTATTCTAGTCAGGTGATTAGTATGTGTTGTTATCCGTAATGACTTGGGAGAGCTATGGTAGAACAACTAGGTTATTCACATTGATCTATAGAGTGTGATGCAAGTATTAGAGATATCTTTATAAAGAGATGCAAGTATTAGAGATATAATTTTTGATGGGTTCAAGTTGAGGTTTAAGGAATTAAAACCAATTTAACCAAACTTCTTTATGCACTCAGGAGAGGGTAAAGAAGAGTGTTGATTCTATTGTCACTAATCACATTCACAATTGCCACTTTACATTTACATTACCACTTAAACCATTGTAAAGGAAGGTAGCTTTATAACCTGATAATCACCAAAACAATTAGGATAAGTAAGATTTCGGTAGGGGTTAACCCTTTTCGTAGATTGTAATTCAGTAGGAATAGTGTGTAGAACCTTAATTTAATTCCAATTCCAGGCTAAGAACTTAACTTAGTAGACTAGAACTTCTTTTAAGTTTAATTGCCACACTCTCTGTGGGATTGATATTCCAAACTTATAATCCAATATTTCTGATACGACACATATACCTGCGTGAGACCCCTGCACTTAGAATTAGGGCATATCGAGATTTTGGCGCTGCTGCTGGGCATATTAGTCAGCTACATTGTTCTCCAATCCTGACTGGTACTGACTCTCAAAATGATGCCCCATTAGCTTTGGTAGCCATCTTTGATGCTCCCCAGTCACCATCCATTGCTCCAAAAGATACCTTAAACTCCTCTGATCTGTTTTAACCAAGAATGTTGTCCCAATAGGTAGGATCATTACTTCTAAATGGGCAAGACAATCACCATCAATTCTGGTTCATTTACTGACTTTAGTCTCGCTTTGGCTGTAAGCACCTGGCTGAAGAAGGTAATCGACTGCTGATCCTCCACGAGCACTGCTCCCAATCCGTATCCTTACGCATTCGTCTACACCATAAATGATTTACTGAAATCTGGATGCGCTAATACCGATACGCTAGTCATGATCCTCTTCAGATGTTCAAATGCCCGTGTTGTTGCTTCGCCCTAATTGAAATTGTCTTTCTTCAAATGCTCCATCAATGACCATGCTATCGTGTTATATCCTCTCATGAACATCCGACAGTACATGCGAGTCCTAAGAATCCTTTGAATTCTTTCAAATTCCTCGGTCAGGGTAAATTAACCATAACCTTTATCTTGGACTGATCCACTGCTACCCCCGTCTTAATCATTGCAGGTCTTAGAAACTCCACCTATAACTAAGCAAAAGAGCATTTCTTGAAGTTAGCATACAACTAACGTTCTCTCATCATATCTAGGACTGTCTTCAGGCGCCCACATGCTCTGTCTCTTTACGACTGTAAATCATGATATCATGAAAGAAAACCAGGACAAATTTCCGAAGATAAGGTTGAAAAACCCTATTTATGAGGGACTGAAATGTTGTCGTGGCATTGTTGAGGCCAAACAACATCACTAAGAACTCATAATATCCTTCTTGTGTCCTGAATGTTGTCTTATGCACATCCGCTGGCTTCATCCTGACTCTTTCTGAAATGACACCGTTTGAGTCCTCGGTTTCGTGGTTGTTACGGTGCTATTTTAGAAATCCCCAGTGTTGTCGCCTTTGCTGATCTTTTTCACTTTTTTCTTATTCTTCATCATCTGATTGAGCTCTATTATTTCTCTCAATCCACGTGGCCTCAAGGGGCGGATGGTCACTCGTATGTCGTTCTTCAGGCTTTTCAAGAAGTTTCCTTCAAAGTCTGTTGTAGAAATCCCCCTCAACCTCCCTGACAAGAGATCGAACATCTCTTGGTACTCTATAACTGTCTCCTCCTGGGTCAAAGCATAGAGTTGCCCGTGTAGGTCTTCTTCCCGAATGACTCAGAAATGTTTCAACAAACAATCCTTAGACTCCTCCCATAAGTGTATCAGATACCCTGCTTCCATTCACTAGAACCATGCTAAAGCCTTCCCCTCTAAGCATAATCCCACTGCCATGAGTTTCTCTACCTCAGTCAACCCTTTGATCGCAATGTATCGCTCCACCCGGTAAACTCATCCATGTGCATCATCTCCTTTGAGGACTGACATATCTAGTTTTCTGACCTTTGCATCTCCACCCCAACCTCCTCTTCATCCGGTATTTCCCTCCATGTGTCTAGGGTGGAACTCCCTCCTTTAGTCATAGACATATCATACTCCCAAATTCCTCCTTCCTCTATCGTGCTTTTCTGTGCCCCTTACACCGTCCCTCCCCCAAGTTTTGGCTCATCCTCCTCCATCGAAATTCTCAATTCTCCCTCCTCTTGGAGTCTTAGTATGTAGATGAGGTTTTTTTCATTGTCTTCTCACTCGATCTTCTTTCTTTTTTGACCTAGCCAAGAATTCCTTAATCAACCCTTGGTTAGAATTGGCAACTGGAGCGATTGGCACGGCCTTGGCTTGCATGTCCATAATCTTTTTCATCATCTCCCGCATTTCTCTTATGCTTTCAAATCCAGCACCCATTCGTCTTTCAATGGAAGAAAACCTATCCTCTATACTGGCGAACATCTCTTCCATTCTAGATTTGATTTGCCCTATATCGTTTTATAGCATATCAACTTTCTTTACTGCCATCCTATCAAGATTTATGTTCTGATACCAATTTGATAAGCTTCGACACCAAAATCAACGAACAAATCACGTTGAAATCGTAATAGAAATATGGAAAGAACACAAATAAGAACCCATCTTACAATTATCAAAAGAAAACAAATAATATACAAGGCTGATCTACTATTCGAGAGGTAGACTGTCTCTCCCAAACCCTCCCCTCAATTCCTCCTTGAATATGTGTCTATGGCCCTAGTCGACCTCACCCCCTTCTTTCCTTCTTATGTGCCTCGCTCGGGTCCCTCCCCTTCTTCCTGTGACAAAGGTCGGCTCATCTGTGGGCTGGCGGGGGATTGTAATCGGCCGGTCTATCCTAACCGGCTGTGCATTAGGCGTAGCACTTTGTCAAAATTATGTCTTCTAGACCTGCAGTCTCGTAGGTTTATAACATTTAGCAATACTCTATACTGGCATACATCTCTTCCATTCTAGATTTTATTTGACTTATATCGCCTTCTAGCACATCAATTTTCTTTACTGCGATCCCTTCAAGATCTATGCTCTGATACTAATTTGATATGCTTTGGCACCAAAATCAGCGAACAAATCGCGTCGAAATCACAATAGATAGATGGAAAGAACACAATTAAGCACCCATCTTACAACAATCAAAAGAAAACAAACAATATACAAGACTAATCTACTATTCGAGAGGTAGATCGTCTCTCCTAGATATCACTAGGAACTCCGCAAGCAATAACAAAACAACAGCCACAACAAAACATGCCTGAAAAATAAACAAACCCTAGGTTCCTCCTTAATAGAATCCTCCAACAACATTTGAAAACTTTTCTTCTAAACTCCCCTCAGTTCCTTCTTGAATATGTGACTATGGCCCTAGTCGACCTCATCCTCTTCTTTCCTTCTTATACGCCTCGCCCGGGTCCCTCCCCTTCTTCCCGCGACAAAGGCTGGTTCATCTGTGGGTCGGCGAGGGATTTTAATCGGTCGGTCTATCCTAACCGCGACTGCGCATTAGGCGTAACACTTCGTCAAAATTATATCTTCTAGACCTGCCGTCTCGTATGTCTAGAACATTTTGCAATACTTTATACTGGCGGACATCTCTTCTATTCCAGATTTGATTTGCCCTATATCGCCTTCTAGCACATCAACTTTCTTTGCTGCTATCCCATCAAGATCTATGCTCTGATACCAATTTAATATGTTTCAGCACCAAAATCAGCGAACAAATCACATCGAAATCGCAATAGATAGATGGAAAAAACACAAATAAGGACCTATCTTACAACAATCAAAAGATAACAAACAATATACAAGGCTGATCTACTATTCAAGAGGTAGATCGTCTCTCCCAAACCCTAGATATCACTAGGAACACAGCAAGCAGTAACAAAGCAACAACCACAACAAAACATGCATGAAAAATAAAACAAACTCTAGGTTCCCCCTTAATTGAATCCTCCAACAACATTTGAAAACTTTTCTTCTAAACTCCCCTCAATTCCTCCTTGAATACGTGACTATGGACTGAGTCGACCTCACCCTTCTTTCCTTCTTATGCGCCTCGCCCGGGTCCTTCACCTTCTTCCCCTGACAAAGGCTGGCTCTTCTGTGGGCCGGCGGGGGATTGTAATCGGCCCATTTATCCTAACCGGTTGTGCGTTAGTTGTAACACTTTGTCAAAATTATGTCTTCTAGACCTGCACTCTCGTAGGTTGTTTGGTGTGATTTTATGGTCTAATGATTGATATGGATTGAAGTATTGCAAAATGTTCTGCGCAGAGTTTTAGCTTTCCATAAAACACTTAAATTTGGGCAAATGAAAAATGAGAATCCTTAAAGCTCACCCCAAAATCAACATGACTTACCGGTCTTTGATTTTTACTTATTCATTACTAATGTTAGCTTTATCTTTTTCACAGATCCGAGCAAATCCGTTCAATGCCGCATTTATAGTTAGCGACAACAATCATCCTAGCCCAACATCAATATTCGACGCAGCATTCTCTAGTGAGAGTTGCTCAGTTGGTAGCATCAATGGAAGCTTTGACATGAAAGGTATTTTTCAAGTAATTCAAAAGAAGAAAAAGATTACATTAAAGGAACCATGAAAAGTTTTCGACCATTTATGTAGAAACCACCAGATTCATATGTATTTACATGTCTATCAACTAAACTTAACTTTTTTACGTTTATAACGCCCTAATCTCTTATATCACATAAAAAAATGCTATCATTTTAACATTTATATAAGGTAAAATGAACGTTTTCATGCATAGGCAAGATGACATGTATGTACAAATTGAAGTTTTGGTGTTAGACATGTAAATACAAAAGAATCGAGTGGTATATTTGTAAATCTCCAACATCATTTTTATGTAATGCTACTTAAACAACAATGCAATCTTCAAACTAATCATCACTAGTTCTTATTTCTTCCACACATTTGTAGAGAGCAAAACACTCAAAGACCCCTCACACAAATGCAATAAAAAAGATTCACTTGAACTGGAGTCCGATCTTCTGGACTCCGCCAACTCAGTGGAATTTAGCGGATCTGATAATGAAAAGATTATGAACAGCGTTCAAAGCGACATTTACGTTGGAGTTCTCGGAACAAAATTCGGCTTTTCTAATCAAGCCGTCTCGAAGACGAAATTTCTTCTCAAGAGCATCCTCTTCTTCGATTCGGAAAGTAAGCTGCAGCCTTCTGTCGACTTCTTTCTTTATGACATTTTTGCTTCAATCTCAGATGCTTTCTTTATGAGGATGAAGTCGAGGTTAAGCTTATCAGAACCCAATGGCTATAATCATATCAATGATTTTCTATTTGAGTTCTTAATTGAGAGCTTGGTTTTAAGATTTAACCAATTCTGCATGTCTGGGTATAAGTTCTCGTTGAAATTGCCTGTTCTATTAAATAAAGAGCAGCTGTTGAAAGAGATTAATGGGGAGATAGAAAGGTTGGTGGAGTTGAGTGGTAAGGTTTTGGACGATTTGGCAGAGCAGGAGCTGAGCTCCTCGAACATGAGGTGGACGACATTTGATGCTGAAGCATCGTCGACGGCCATCGACATTGAGACTGTGATACTTCGGGAGTTGGTAGATGAAATGTTTATGGATTTGCTTGTAATAAACTAACTTTAAGACATCAGAACTAGTAGTGGTTGCTGGCTGTAAAATTTTGTTTGGTTGTGGATTAACTGTTGTGTAGAATTGCTTCAGAGGAGGGAGCTCTTGTTCAGAAATTTTTCTACTGTTTTAACTTCCTTGAATCTATCTGAAGTTTTTCTTGTACTATTTTGAGTTCCAATGGAAAACTATGAAGAAAATTTTCCTTTTCATCTGCGATTTCTTATTAAAAGTTGGGGCATTTACATGCATATAGCACACGATTCTAATGTATTTATGTATCTCACATCTAGATATTTACTGTTGTAACACTGAAATCATTAATATCACATCAAAATTGTAACACTCGAGTGTTATGTATGTAAATATAAAAATTCTATTCTAAATGTAATAGAATTTGTTATTTCTTGGAATGACTTCTGTGCAATATGAATATCAGATAAGTATGTCATGAATCAGTGAAACAAGGCAAATAGATTCAACAAAAACGGCAACTTAAAATGAAAAATTAGATAAAGATAAGAAAATCACTTCAGAGGCTAACTAAAAACAAAAACGAAAACTACTCTTATGTAGGGGAAATACCAAAAATGGATAAGAAAAAAGCAGCTGAATTCAACTCTTAATGAGCATATCTCTATAAAGCTTGATTGATTCCTGTCTCTGAATTCTCATCTCCTCATGAAACTTCTCAATAAACCTATCTGCTCTTCCATCTACTGATTCATCATCTTCATCACTCAGCTCTGTTTCATCAAATCCCTGCACCTTAAACTCATCTTCACTGGCATCAATAGGCAGAACCTCACTGTGAGCTCTGCGTGATCTGTCATCACCTGCAGCTGTTTCACCATACAGGAGCATTGCATTTCCGAGCATTCCATTCTCATCTTCGGTGATTCGATCGGCATCAGTTGAGCTACTGCCACACAGGAGAAATGATAAGATGCGGTTTGTCTTCTTCTTGAAGAGACGATGAAGGTGATGGAAATTGGGAGTGCTGGAGGGGGAGAAGGAGAACTGGTATTCACTAATGAAGGTGTAGTTGTAGTGGTGAAGGAGCGTCAATGGCCGGTTTTTCTTCGAGAGTTGCTTCTGATTATTCTGTTTTCTCTTTCTTCTCAAGAGGATGATGGAGAGACATATGTTGTCCCATGCTCTCTTGAAAATAAGGGTTTTTTTCCTGTTCATCTTTTCTCAACTCTTTTATTGTTCTCTCTCACACACACTCTCTCTCTTCTGGTTGGGAAGGGATGATGGATTGAAGGGTGAAGGAGAGGGGAGGGGAGTATTTAAGGGGGGAGAAGAAGGGAGGAAAGGGAGAAAGGAGATGGAGCGGGCCTTGGCAGTGAGAGCTGGAAGGCAATGGTGGGGGAGGTTGGTGGACATTTGTTTTATGAGTTATTGGCTGTGTTTTTGAAGTTTTAAAGAGGGAGAACAACGGTAGGTAGCCGTTGCCTTGAAGCTTTGTGGGTGTTTGGACTGCTGCGGAGGAAGAATTATTTTTGGGCATTTTACATTTATACCACACAATTTTTATTTATATACATATCTAACACCTAAACATCTCAAATCTTTAACATTACATTTATAAGCCAAGAAAGTACACACCTAAACATCTCCAATCTTTAACATTACATTTATAAGCCAAGAAAGTACTTTATTTATTAATTAAAAAAATGTAAGATTTTTCATACATATCACTAAATTCTTATGTATTTATATGTCAAACATCTAAGCTTCAATATTCTTACATAACACCTTACCTAGCATGAAAATATGTATTTCATTCTTTTAAAATTAAGATGGTGATATTTTTTATGTGATATAATGATTTGAATGGTATAAATGTAAAAAGTAAAATTTAGATGTTACATATGTAAATACATAAGAATGGGCTGGTATGTATGCAAATGCCCCTAAAAAATTTTAAACATGAAGTCGATCATTTTATGTGCCTGCTTCAATGAGTACGCACATTGGTTTGATATTAAATAAAGAATATTAAGGTAATGAATTTGTGCGGTTAGCTTATCGAGAAAAAAGAAGAGAGAGAGAGAGAGAGAGAGAGAGAGAGAGAGAGTTCGTTGCAACAATGTTGCTTGTTGAGAGATTGATTGTCATCTCATCGTTACGGGATTAGGGGGGTAAACGAGTCGATTTGGGTTAAAAGTCATGCCAAATTTAAAGTCGGCTCGTCTCTCAAATTTTGAGCTTGAGCTTGACTTGTCGTGGTAGCAGCCAACTCGTGAGCTCAAACTAAAGATTCAATTTTTGAGAGCTCATCAGGGAAGTTATTGGTGGCCGGAGGATGAGGAAGATGCAAAGGCAACTCATTGGAATATACATCGAAATGATCAGTGATAAGCAAGTCGATCCGGCTAACGAGCGTGCTCGGTTCATTTAAGAGTTTTGTTGAAATGAAAGTTCAAGGTTGTTAAAATTTAAAACCTTAAAAAGTAAATCTGCATCTAATCTAAACACATTTTTCAAAATGAAAAATTAGATTGCTTGAAAATCTCCTCACAGGATTCATTACTTTCATGTATTTTTATTAAAATCAAATACTTCAATATTCTTCTAAATGCTCCGAAAATCTTATTTGATTCAACTTCTATAGACTATGAATTATTTACTTCATGCTGAATTATCTTTTGGGATGTTGTTTAATATATTTGATGCATAATCAAATCATCTTTAAATTTCATTAAATTTAGCATTATACTAACAAGTTTGTAGAAGTTTAAGACAATTAATATTTACTGTCTTCACTCCTATCTCTTTAATAACAGCCAAATTCATCCAAGAACTTCTCTAATGGCGACTCCATGATTACAGATAATACTGATTTTTCAAGTTAAGACAAATTTACATAGTTCAAATCAGCAAAGCTTGAGCTTTTGAATCTTCAGGAACAGCAAGCTCATATCTTTCTTGAAGCTCCACTGTCTTCTACTTTACCTTGCCTTTTATCATCACAAGAGAACCGGCAGCCATGGCGTCGGGTCTTCTGAAAATTCTTCTCGTCTTCTTCACTCGACTCCATAAAGAGAGCTCTGAGGCATCGCCTTCTGATGTTGGGCTCATAAGTTAGCTTCTGCGGTGCAGAAATGCTGGAAGCTGCCTTTTTTAATTCTGCTTTCTCTCTGAAGCTCACTGGCGCAGTTGGCTTGGTAGAGATAGTCATATGAACTCCTGGGTTTCTCTCTCTGTATTTAGTTTCATCCATGATTGAGCTGTTTATGCCCTGCACATTACTGTTTATACTAGCAATAATGGACTGATTTCCTTTCATCTTATGGAAATTATCTTCCTTTGTTTCATTGCTCTTCCCTACCTTCTTCCCCGGATGAGTTTCATGGCCTATGAACATGACTGCCCCCTGGTTTTCGCTAGCTAATGTTATAATATTCACACCGTGTTCATTTCCCAACTTATTTTGATGTTCCTGAACTAGTCTAGAGAGTCCATCTTTAAGTTCTTTCTGCTCATGAGAAGAAACGCGTGGCTTGGTGGAAATGGTAATCCTTCTTTCTTTCATGGCGGATTTCTGTCTTATTGATTCTTTAAAAGCGCCATTTTTAGATTCTTCAGGTGTTTCTTGTTCTGTAGTTCTAACTGGTGAAATTAAATCAGATACTTTGATTGAGATTTTGGGCTCGCTTGCCTGCTTCGTCTCTTCACCGACTTCCTCCTCGGCTGCTGCTGCTTCTTTGGACTGAAATTCTTCAGTTAATTGTTTAGTTTCAGTAGGACTAATCTCCTCCTGCTGCTGAAGCTGTTGAGTTTCTGAATCAAGTTCAGGTTTTTCTTCTTGAATCGTTTCTATCCGAGCTTCAGAATCTTTCCGAGCCTCCAAATTCACCCCCGGTTTCATCTCCTCAGTTAACTGAGCCGAGGTTGGCTCAACGCTACTAGTTTCAGTTTCTGTAACTCGTTCTGATTCATATTCTGTTCTGGTTTTCTCTTCCTCTGAATCAACTTGAGCTCTTGGTGTTTCAGCTTGTGGAAGCAGTTCCCTTCTTTCCGGACTTGAGGAGGAAGGAATGCTCCGTGGCGACGGCGGAGGTGATGGAGATGGCAATGGCGGCGGCGGCAGATGTGTTCGAGCATCATCGTGTTGCGGTGGGGAAGGCGGAGAAGGTGGTGGCAATTGGGGGGGAATGGGAGGAGGTTTAAGTTGTTTTGGAGCTTGGGTTGAGCTTCTCCATGGAGGAAACCAGAAGCGAAATGGCTGCTTCTTGCGGCCGGATCGGTCAGACATGGTTGGTTTGATTTTATAATGAGATTTATAATGTTGTGATTGCGTATTTATATGGTTATAAATGCATAAGGATTTGATTTTGAAGAGAAAAACCATTTGCAGAGAATTGTATCTGATTCTCTGTTACATAGATTTTGAGATTGGCATATCTTGGTGAATGGAGAAGGATAACCTTGAGAGTAGGAATGCTTCTCTTGAGGAAATCTGATTATTTTATGGTTTTGCTTGATGATATGGTTTGTATTTTGAATTATGAGAGGTTTCCACCTTTGATTTGTGAAATTTACATACACTCCACACAATTCTTGTTTATTTACATATCTAATGCAAGAAACGAGCAGTGACCGATAGCGATCTGCATGGTCGGATGAACTTATTGCAATGAATGGGCAGCAGCCGATAGCGATCTGCAGCAACCGACAGATGGGGGGCCGGTGGTCAATGACGGCAAATGTGAAGCTGCATTTTAGCTTTTTCTTAATGCTTCAATCTCTCTTCTGATGTTTCAAGCTCTCATTCCTCTTCATCAGAGAAGTGGGGCTCCATTTATAAAGTTCTGAGTGTAATTAACGTAGGAATATGAACCACTTTGAGATTTTAGCTTTTTTTTAATGCTTCAAGCTCTCTTCTGATGTTTCAAGCTCTCATCCCTCTTCATCAGAGAAGTGGGGTTCCATTTATAAAGTTATGAGTGTAATTAACGTAGGAATATGAACCACTTTGATCAGACGGTTGAGAAGATTTCCTTTGATTATTTTATGGGTTTGCTTGACAATATGATTTGTATTTTGAATTATGAGAGGTTCTCATCGTTTAATTTGACAAATTTACACACATACTACGTAATTCTTATTTATTTACAGATCTAATGCCCAAAATTTGATGTTTACACTTATAGTTCAAATTGAAATGTACCCAATTTCATAACCCAATACCATTTTTAACAAATCTTCTAAAATTCGGCTCAACAATACCCATTCTTGAGTTTTTTTTTTTTTTTTTTTTTTTCGTTACGTGTTATAGAAATTTATTTATTTAAAAAAGAAACTTGATAAGTAATTTTTTTCCCTAAATCTACTTTCCAAATTCTATAATGGCAATTCCGTGGGTGTAAAAAATGTTCATTGTTCACAAACAACTCATGTTCGGCCCGTTAAATTACTTGTGTTTGAATCGTTACTTAAGCAAGTGAGTTGAGCACGTACAAATTACTAAGCTCGATTAATTATAACTAGCCGAACATGAACAAACATTTCTTCGATTGTGTTTGAGCAGCTTCAACTCAAAATAAATAATTATTTAACTAATAAATATTATGTAGAAAGTTTATATCTTCATAAATATATATATATAATAAAAAGAGAACATAAAATTATAATTCAAGAGAAAAAATGGATTAAAATTTCATTTATATTTATGTATTGTAACTGTGATATGCACGATCATATCACAAAGAATTTACTAATACCTTGTGCTCTTTGAAATTTATTGATATTAATTGTTAAAAAAAATAATATTAGTTTTATAAATAAAAATAATAATAATAAATAAACCTTTCATAATAGTAGCCCTCACTTTTGAGATGAAGTATTTTCAATAATAAAAAGAGTCTTCGAAGCACTTTATATAGGTTATTGCAGCGATAAAAGTCCCTGCTACTTTCATCACATTTGAGTTTATATATAATTTAAATGCATAAGAATTGAGTGACATGTTATATATATATATATATGAGAGAGGCTATTATATAAGTCCCCAATTACCCTCATGTGCCTAACTATTCGAGGACCGGCTCATTAAAACCGGTGACCCCAGAGGGAGATTTGAATCTGTGACCTGATGAGACCTCCTGAGGGGACTTACGACATTCAAAGAGGCTACTCTACCAACAGGTCATGACTGACATAATATATATATTCTAATTATATTCGAATAAATGAAATCATGGTTGGTTAGTTTAGCTTGTCTTTCTCCAACTAATATAAGCTTATAGAGAAAAAGGTTTCTGCGTCGTTCCAACACCCTCTAATATATGATATTTCACTTTTAGTTTTTTAATTAATAATTGTTACACTGTTGCAACTAGAAGAGCTTTTCAATTAATAATTGTTACACTGTTGCAACTAGAAGAGCAAAAAAAGATAGTTGTAGAAATACACATTTTAAAAAATAAAGTAAAATTAATTATTAGTTTGTGTAGCGACCTCTAAATTGTAGCTCTAGCGGTAGACGATATTAGAGAGCGTCATCTTAGAGGGTTTGATCACATTAAACGTCGATAATCTGATAACCAAGTTAGGATGGTCAATATTTAGTTCAGATTCAACTTATATTAGAAAAGGTAAAGACAGACCCAAAAAAGACTTGGTCATGTTGTATTAAAAATGATCTTAATTTATGTGTTTTAATGAACAAATGACACAATAGGATACAATAGAGAAAAAAAGTTTCATGTTGCCGACCCCACTTAGTTGGATAAAGGCTTCTTATTGTTGTTGTTATAGCAAGCTTTAGACCTCACTTCTTTACATAGAATTTAAGTTTTTAATTTTAGTGCTTGCAAATTAAGTTATTTATTTGCAAAAAATATTTAAAAACACCAATCCACCATCTCCCTCCTTTATAATGACATGCAATTCAATTGATATTAGCATTAATTCTATCAATTACTTGAAATCATTATGAACAAATTCACTTTCAATAAAAAACATGCTAAACTCCATGGCTATGAACAACATGTACCATGCACTAAAACTTAAATAATTTCATAAGAGTCTCAACATTGAAAATTATTATGGAGATTTAGGATAAGTTAAATTTACTCATGATGGCATAAACAAAAATAGAAATGCAAATAGAAAAATTTAGTGCCCGAATTTGAGTTACTTTGTATGAATTATACAGAGTCTATTAGCTATATTGTTTAAGATTATAAATTAAAAACATTCATCAAACAAGTTTAACAAAATTATTATTTTAATTCAAAAGATTATGTTGATCATATAATAAAAGAGATGCAAAAGTAACGGTAATTATAGAATGTAAGAAACTATCTACTTGTTTATTTGATCAATTACATGGATCTCTTTTAACACATGAACACATGCTATTAATAGAAGACAAAAAATGCACCAAAGAAGAAATGGGCAAAGAAAATTGCTTTTGAGATATTGAGACTGGATGCTAGCTAGCATTGCATGTCATGAAGGAGAAATGAATGAACTAACAACGATCTCAAGGATGATGGGATCCATTAGAAAAGGCACCAAAAGTATGAAATAAAGAGATTTCATAAGCAAGCTAAGAATTCTACTTCTATATGCGCACCTCCTACTTCTTTCAATTATAAAAATTTGGGCACTTAAACATGGATGCCCAAAACTTGTGAAGAAAACAACAACATAGAATGAATTTCCATCAAATTTCAAGCTGATTTGTCTCAAAACTTTAAATTATTTTTCTTAGAATTAAATAACATTATATATGTATATACATATGCCAATTTAGTTACATGGTGATGACGATGATTAAATATTTTTGGAAGATTCACATATATACCACTCAGTTACTAAGTATTTACATATCTAACCAAAACTTTAATTTTTACATGCCTGCCATCTTACAAAAGGTGCATCACCTTTTAAAAGTTAATATTGTAATATTTTAGATGTGATTCAAAAAATTTAGGTGGTATGAATGATAATAAATAAAGTTTAGGTGTCAGACAAGTAAATACATAAGAATTGGATGGTATATATAAATGCCTCAATATTTTTTTAAGTTACTTTCATTCTCAATTAACTTACTAGTTGTCCTCAACTTGTTCAATACTATTAGGCATGGATAACTTAACTTTCAGACATAAACTATAGAGATTTTGTCAATGATAACAATATACACGGACATGAATTTGAACATCACAAGTTGTTAAAGATGTATAAGTTTCTAGTGAAGTGTTGTAGGTTCTTGGTCAAGATTAACGTTACTAAAGTAGCGTGGAAGAAGACCTAAATGTAACCACCGCTGTTCAAGTCTCATTTTTGCAACAAGTGATTTATGCTTCTCATGAACTCAATGCATGATATAAACAAGATAGTATCTCTGTTCTTATATTGTATGTGTGATAAAAAGGGGCATTTACATAAATACAACATAGTTCTTATATAGTTACATATCAAACATGTAAACATTCATATTTACATGCATACCAATCAAATATTTAACAACACATCAAAAATACCACCACCACTAACTTATTAAAACTAAAATACATCTTTTTATGTATAGATTTATGACACCAAGATGTTATAAATGTAAATATCAAACTTTAGGTGTTAGATACGTAAATACATAAGAGAATTGCGTGGTATCCATGTAATCCAGCGCACGGCTGTGGTGATAAGTGAACTACAAAAACTTGCATGTTCATTTTCTGTCAAGTTTTATCACAATTCTAACAAAAGCTAGGTCACCTACATAGATATCAAATAAATAAACATAAATTTTGATAAGCAAAATTATTATAATTAATACATTTACATAATTACATCACTTACCATAGAATCAATAAAAACAGAGTTTATCAGGTAGCTTATTCAAGCCCAGATAACAAAATAAGAAGAGAGAAAAAAAACAACCAAATAATACCAAAAGCAAGCACACATTCTCTTCATGTTAACATCATGACACTTGCTTTTACTAAATCAAAATACATAAAAAAAGATATAAAAAAAAAAAAAGAACAACCGAAGATGAAAAAGCCACTAAAGGAACACGAGAACCAGAAAGCCATGATAACTGGGAAGTAAAACACCATTGGAAACATAGATAAACATACTTAGTACAAGAAGATCAAGAGAACCGCACCTCTTATTATTCATTCTTAGATTCGTCCTCCGGGTCACGAAGAGTTCCGAACAACCAGTCCATCCATATGGTGTAATGCCCGTAGTTGTGGCGGTAAGTCGTGTGGTGGATCGTGTGGTAACCGGCACCCATCATTGGCCAGATTTTGCCATGAATGCAGTCATGAATATTGGCTGTCCAGATTCCTTCACAGAAGAGGAGAATTACGTGTGTTGTGAAGTGTGTAGGAACCAGGAAGAGGGATATAACGTGAGGGATAGCCTGGAGGATTCCATCCAGAGGATGGAAAGCCAGCCCTGGAGATGCAAAGAACATTATAAGTAAACATTTTTATAATTGCATGAAATACCAGGATGCAGAAGGATTGCAGTAGGATCAGTTATAATGGATTAGGTTTGAGTGGTTTCTTGTTTTTTTTTCCTATATTTTTTGCAGGATTGAAACCACCTTAGGCTACAAACACAGTTGTGAGTGATGATATTATGGTAGCGCAATGCAACACTTTTGAACAAATTGTTAACTAAGTTTGATAATAAGGAAATGTGCCATCAAAGGGAGCAAACGGACTGCACTGCAAAAGACGAAATTGTTTCCTAAAATATTTACAAGTATTATATAAAAAATAGCACCGATTACCATCTTTTAATAGTCAAATCCATATTTTCATCCATAAGTAAAGTGCAATGTGTGTAAAAATGAAACCTTAGGTGTGAGATATGTAAATCCATAAGAATAGTGTGCTGCGTATATAACTTCCCCTTTTTATAATTATCTAAAACATAATATGGAAGCACCTAATGATTAAGTTTTGAGCAGGCAATAAAGCCCAGGGTAGTCGACGATGGACAATCTAAACATATCACATCATAAATAAAGATAGTGTATTAGTAGAGAAGGATCAAAATTTTCACAATGAATTGACAATTATAATTCAAGAAGATTTAACATTTCTTAAACTAAGATAATGTTAACACATTAAAATGTCACCATTTATCACATTAATCATTTCCATTTTACAATTCAAAGTAATCACTATAGCAACACAAATACTCAAGAGATTTGGGAGTGATCATTGAGGCTGAGGCTTTGAATAAGAAATGGATCTTTCAAAAGATGGCAGGTCTTAAGGATGACAGGCCTCTTAAGAAAAATGATGATAGAAATAAACTATATCTCACAACAGAATAGGAAGAAAGGTTACTAAGCAAAATAAATAAAGGGTAATACAAAATATGTGTTATATCTTTTGTTGTAACAAGTAGAATTTCATTGAAAACTCCAAAGAAACATGCGAATGGTGTATTCTTGGCATAGGCAACCACTTCGAAAGTTATACCAAGAATGGTAAATTGTGATGTTGAACTTGACATGGGACATATTAGACAAAAACAAACAATGCTTCACATACTATGGCCCAGATTATTATAATAGATAATATACCTAAACTCTCTCTAGTAATGATGCGTGGTTTGGAGAAGAACCAAGAAGAAGTTGTTAGCCCAATGGCTAACAATGCTTCACATAGTATGGCCCAGATTATTATAATAGATAATATAGCTAAACTCTCTCTAGTAATGATGCGTGGTTCGGAGAAGAACCAAGAAGAAGTTGTTAGCCCAATGGCACACTGACTTCGAAGAGTGCAATCAAAAGAGCATAGTCAGTAATTGTCAGAGCTAAGGCCAGAACAAGAGGAAGCTTTAAGTAAGCTTCTAGGATAACAAGCTTTGGTGGGGAAAGAGGGCAGAACAAAACCAAATCTTCCTTGTTGGGCTGTAGATACAAAGGAATTGACCAAAATACGCAAAACTCCTTTTGGTGAAACAAGTGGTATTTCAATGGAAAGTCCATAATTAAGCATGCTCAAGATGGAGCATTGATAAAAAACCTCCTGAGAAGTTAGACCAAGGATGGCAAAATGATAAGGTTTGCTTGATAAGGAACAGGAAGGAACAATATGTTGCAACGTGGGAAAAGGTCATTATATCTAAGCTCCAACATTAGCCGTTCAAGCATCCACGAACTTGGTATAATATGTAGGATCTTATATAAAAGTTAACATGTCCTGAGCTAACTTTTTTATTAGTTTAGTCTAGCATTGCAAGTAGGGTATCAATTCATTTCTTTTAATTGCACTGAGATGTGCACTTTGCATCAAAATAGATCTTTCATAAGATAGAGACCCTTATATGATTTTAAGTAATGACAAACATGCTATAATCACCAAATCATGCCAACAGATCCATACAGGATTTCAGAAACATTCCACAATAATTGTTAATTAAAGAGATTGGTGACCAAATTCGTGCATAAATACATTGTAATCATTGAAGACATGACTTAGTCACAACCTTAAACTGGCTTTGATTAAAGATAAACTTATTGTGGTCATTAGACCTTACCTAGATTGCTTTTATTCTTCAATATACGAGTTAAAGGCCAACTATTTGGCCAAGACATTCAATAAGACCTTGGTAAAACTGATAAAACAAATTTCTCCAAAAAATGAAGAATGGCATGAAAAAACTAACAAAAACTCTTTGGGCCTATTACATCACATATAAATCTACAATGGAGGCCTCTCCATATTCCATTGAGCTTGGAATAGAGACGATTCTTTATGTTGAGGTTGAACTATCTTTACTTCCTATTGCCATCCGCTACAGGCTCACACAAGAAGAGAATCTTCATCTACAACTCGAAGGGCATAAATCCTTAGATAAAGTTCGATTTCAAATCCGACAAAAATCAGAAAACAGATAGGCAAGGATGGCCCGGTCACATGATCATATAGTTTATCCTAGAAGCTTCAAGGTTGATGAACTAGTCCTCGTGTATCAAAGACCTATAATTTCCCATTATCTTGTTGGTGGAAAATTTCATCAAAATTAAGAAAGACCCTTCATTAACAAGTCCAGGGACAAATCTTGAACATCAAGTACTAGATCAAGCATAAGGGCTGGACCACCAAAAAATTTTCAACTCATAAGTCTATGGGCCAAGCTATCTCACAGATTCAACGAGCTCCAACAGTAGAGTCAGCACAACAAATTTAAGCTCAACTAGTCAAAGAACAATGCTTGAACATCAAGTTCTAATTAAACAGGCTTAAGGTCAAACTGACAAAAAATTACTTAGCTGATAATCCTAAACGACAAGCTATCTAGCGTATTCAATAAAATCCACTAGTAGAATCAACTTATAAATGCCATACTCAACAAGTCTAAAAGACCATGCAGAAACATCAAAACTTGTTTTAATAAGCTCTATGGTCGAACCGACAAGTCCCTTTAGCTCATGAGTCCAAAGGCCGAGTTGTGTCATTGATTCAACAAACTCCAGAAGTTGAATTAACACATGCATATTTCAACCTAAGAATTGAGCTTGAATATCAAGTTTTCAAAGAATATGACTAAATAAAAGACTGGCACCCTAAGCTTACAAGCCCAAATTTCGAGTTAACATAAATATGCACTAACTTGGCAAATTTGATGGTCGAATTGAACAGCATATGTATTGAACATCATAAGCACCTCTCACACCTACAATCTAGTCTAAAGTTAAGATCACGCGAGATTGGGTGCAAGAAATGTGCCACATTAGAGTAACATGTCACATTTGTTATAGTGTATCACATTTGATGGGAAAAATTTTCTTGGCAAATGGAAAAAAAAATTTTCTTCGTTCTTTCTTTATTTAAAAAAAAAAAGGATGAGAACATTAGTTAAAAGTTGAAGTACATTCTAAAGTTTCTCTAGTCTTTATAAAGCAACTAATAATTTCAAGGCAACTGAATTACTTTGTAGGTATGATTTAACTTATTATTAGGTGACCCAATTCTCATTGAAAATCCATTTTGGGTTGAGCTGAACTTGGATATTTTGAGATAGAGTTGTGACCAGGTCCCCTCGAATATGTTGCTATTCTCATTAAATGTAAACTAAATATAAAAAGTAACTCACTTCATCAAAGAATAAAAAAATAATTGAGTGAAGATAAAATCATTAATAAATTAATATTAAAACTTTTTTAAATATGTGCATTCTTTATTGCACCCTTCCTCACAACTCAACTCAAATTCAACTCAGTCAATTATAGCTGTCAAACGCAAGATGCCACTTGTGAGATAATTACAGCCATGCAAGTTGAACGTTCTCTTTCATTACATGGTCACTTTGTGAGATGAGTATATGTCAGCTATCCCCAAGTCTCATCTATCCTTCATTTTCCCTTGCACATGACTAATCATTCTCCCACTCACCCTCTACCTCTAAAGCACATCTAAGTATTGTCTAGAACCTTCAAACTGCAAATAGCAAGATTTGTGTCCCTAAATTAATCAGCGAAAACTGACACATCCTACCCTACAACCCAACAATCTATCAATAAGCAAGTTGATGCCGCTCTAGAAAGCGCATCTTCAACACATTCTCACCCCAAACTACTTGTGATAAATGCAATGAGGCAACTAATACTTAGTAATTAGATCTTTAGACATTATGGCTTATGCCTTCTACAATCGGTCGATTGGATCCAATGGTACACTCAAGATGACAGAGCTGTAGTACATTCCTCATTAATTCAATAAAAACCTAAATATTAAATTTAAACATAAAATAAAAGCATGAGCAATATCTTTAATCAGGAGTGTTCTCCTGTAAACGAAAAGAAAAATTAAGTGTGGAGGCTTGCACCATGGTAAGTTTCAATCCTAGATCTAAATAAACACTAGTCTAAAGAACATGAAATATCTGGTTTGAACAATCTAATCCTACCTCAAAGAATACTACCACTCATTCTCCACTAATTCTCCTCTATTACACACTAGTTTTTCCTAAGTGGGGGGCCCTAGAATCTTTTAGGCTCCGTTGTTTGAACACAAAATTTTCTACCAATTTTTCAACGCTATGAATTTAAATAAAAGACTAATATATTCCTCAAGTTTGCTTACCAGGTCAAAAAAAATCAAATTGCTGTGTATGGTAGTGTCAGAAGGCAGCTCTTTTTTTTTCTACTTTTATATCAGAAAACTTCACTCCATCGCAGCAGCAGCAAGTGGTTCCCATTTAATGCTTTCTTTTTCTTTTTTTTAATTAGTTTATATTTCTCCATTTTCGGCTTTGAAGGGCTTGAGGACGTAAAGAAGCATGGAGAAGAAAGATGATGGAAGCCCACAGTGCGCTTTCTATTTTCGTCCCTCTGATGAAGGCTATTTTGGAAGCAGAGACTGCGGAGGAGCTCTAAACCGGGTCAAACAGGAAGTATTGGGCAGCACAGAAGTTTCTCCGACAGTGAAAAGGGTGGAGGCAGAGGCTGCGGAGGCTATTTTGGACCTTTCTGTTTTCCAAAAGATGGAACGCAGGGGCGGTAGGTTGGCAGCAGCAGAATTCTTGCGTTCTGAAATGGCCATAAAAGACCTTTGAGATTGATGCGCCATGAGGAGAAAAATCACACTAATACACGGGGAAAATATATTTGGCGTTTTGAGCAATGAAACAGAGGCGTGACTCGTTCTCAAATGAAGCCCTAGTTATGGTTTGAAATAATCCTTAAACATTTACATGGCAAAACTGTTTCAACCCATATAAAAGAGACTAAATACTAATTTAACATTTTTATAAACATTGTGACTAAAATCACCGCCCTTAAATAGTCACATGACCATTTTAACACTTTTCTCATTTTCATGGAAAATATAGAAACAACATTTTCGGGACAATTCATTTGACAAACAAACACTTGTTACCTTGCTTAAAATTTCAAGGATCATCAACATTTTGATCACAGTTAATAAAGTTTCATTCTTGTGTTACTAAAATTGTAGATATGCTGATCAATTGCGTGATCTTCTTTTGTGGCAGCCATATACTAAAAGGTACACTGTTAAAACTGTCTCCGATCCTTACAAATATCGACAATGGAATAAATTCGCTAGAAATTACCTACCAGCGAAAGGAGAAAGTGTGTTCTGTTTATTGTAGATGTGATGAGTTGCATGTAGATGCTTATATAATAGTTTGATGTCATGCAGTTCCCTGTGCATCCAGTAGATACCAAACTCACAAAGAACAAGGTAAGTAAACAGGTAGACGATATACATAGGCCAGCCAACTTCACTGATCCTAGAGAAACATTTGGTCCATCCACTTTCAACTAGGTGCTCTGAAAGTGTAGGAAGAGGTAAGGCATAGCCTTCATGGCAACTATTATTTGTAACTTCATGGCCCTGTAAGAAGGCATAGCATCTGAAAAAGTGAAAGATACATCAGATTATGCTCGATAAAGTAATCCGGCTGATCTTTATAAGTAAATTTTTTTTTTGCGTAGTACAGTAATCAAGGATGCGTGCAAATTAAATGGTTTAGAGATGCAGAAACCCATGTTAATAAACAGACAGCCTGCAATTTCCCGAGATAAAAAGCTTTACTGATAGAGCATGGAAAACTAGGAAGAAGCCAATCATATTTGAGTTGTAGTTACAAAAAATAATGTCCAATGATGGAAAACTTAAAGCCATTAAGTCATCACACAAAATCAACAATGAATTACTGAAGCGAACTGCCATGATGATTTGCATGGTTAAAGCTCAAATCATCTGCACAAGTTAGCGCTCAAAAGTTCTCTAAGATGAAGTGGTTATTATCACATTTACATGCATATATTTGGGAAAGCTATAGTGAAAGACATGATAATAAATAGGGTATTTAGAGTCATGAAGCATATTTTTTTGAAAGATAACAGGTTCAAATTTTAATCCAGATGAACCATCAAATCAGAGTTCAACGGGAGCCTATCACTTCCACATAAATGGAGATTTTTCTGCTACACTAAAAATATTTTTCCAAATTTTGAGTAAATCATCAGATTTTTTTCATCCTTGGGTGTTTTAATAATCATTTAGGTTAAAGGTGAGGGTAAACCTTCACTATATTTACCAAAAATAATTTTAACTCTTATGCGTGAGAATAATAGCGCCCTCATGCTCCTTAACCAAAAGAACTAAGCAAACAGTACATCATTTCACAATCACCAATTTTAATCTCAAAAATCACATATATTAGAAGTCAATTACAACCCTACACATGAATATTAGGGCTCCATTTGTCAAGATCACCCAATATGAATCTTCACTTGGCCTCCAAGCTCTTGCTCCTAAGAACTCTTGGGATGGTCCTTGACTTTGCTCGATGAGGAGGCCTCGAAAGGTTTCTTGTTCCACACATTCATAGGTCTCCCCAAGGATTCTCTCAATTTCATCCTCTTCCATTGTAGTTCGTCAAGCTGAATCCTTAAAATATCAACTGATGATCAATTATGAAAGTCCTAGTATCGGTTGGTCGAGCTGAATCCTAGAAAATTTCAATTGATGATTAACCCTGACACATGTAATATATCATGGACATTTACAACCTGATGCATACCTCTCTCACCAGTCTAAACCAAGTTCATTGTCAAAAATGTAATAGAAGCTACCCCGCATCGTCAAATTCTCATTGTTTGGGTTCAAGTTCCCACGATCATCTCCTAGTTGCCTCCCACAATCTAACAATTTACCCAACATAATGGCGTACCATCCTTAGTCTACATCTATTATCATGGCCCTCTACTAGTATCACTACTCCGACCATGCCACAGATGATTGGAAGCCCAACATAATGGCGTATTATCATGGCCCTCTACTCGTATCACTACTCCGACCATGCCACAGATGATTGGAAGCCCACAACAAAAATAATGGGTTTTCAAACTTTTTCCAAAGGGACAGCAACACATGAAAAGAGAAATGATCATTTGTTAAGGGAAATCTTTGAAATTTGGAATCCGATATCGCTACGTCTTAGCACGGTGCTTACAACTAACTAAGGCGGGAACTTCGTTCAAACGTTATTAATATTTCATTTTATAATCCACAAAATATTTCAGAAACTTCCAATATATATAAAAGGGCCGCTGATAATCCACAGAGACAATAAGTCAATTTAAATCATCCAACAATAACATAGAATCTGTAATTAAAATCTCAATCCACACAACCATATATATCTATCCAAAAGAAATAGTACAAAAAGAAATTACAAGCATATCATATTAGTATCTATCAACTGCAGTCCTCATCTTGTAAAATAAGTCTCTCCTACAGACATATCAATCTAAAACTTTTTTTTTCTTGAAAAAAATCATTAATTGCAACCATAAGTATGCTTAGTGAATAATTATAATCTAATATGCATTACATTCTTACGATATGTTATGTATAAATGATCAAAAGAAAATGTAGTTCATCTCATTAAAGCTTCAAATTTATCCCCTTCTACCTTCCTCCCACAACTTCGATCGTCTAGGGCTTGGGATAGACAGTAAGAGTGAAAAATTTCTCCTCTTCCTCTGCAAGCAAGCCACACAATCTCCCTTCACCTCTTCTCTTCAGTCGCATCTCGACCTAGGGCAATATGCGAAGCTGCACAATCTTCTTCCTCCTTCGACTAAGACTCGACGTCAAAACAAGTAAGGGACACTCTCAACTCCTTCCTCTTCTATCCTGCTCTGATCTCTCCTGCTGTCTCTCGCTCATTTGCTTTCGAATGAGGGAAAAATGGAAAAAATGCAAAAGGAGCGATAAATAAATTTCTTACAAGGGGCATGTCTCCTCTAACCGATAGTATCAGTTTATTACTATTACTATTACAATTATTTTTATTTTATTATTTTAAAATTCAATTATTACAATGGAGCACAGCATAAAAATTGGGGGGGGGGATAATCCAGTTATATTTTTAAGAAGGTTAAAAATGGTAAATACTTAAAGTGAAACAAGAAAAGATAAATTTAATGTTTTAATGAAATAAATTGCATTTTCTTAACATAAGAATTTAATACATATTAGATTATAATTATTTACTAAGTCATACTTATGATTGTAATTAAAGGTTTCTTTCAAGAAAAGAAAAAGTTTTAGGTTGATATATCAGGTAGGAGAGATTTGGTTTACAAGAAGAAGACTGCAGCTGATAGGTACTAGTATGATGTATTTGTAATTTCTTTTGCACTGTTTCTTATGGATAAACATATATGGTTGTGTGGATTGAGAATTTACTTGTACATTATATTTTACCGTTGGTTGATTTAAATTTTCTTGTTGTACCTGCGGATTATTAATAAACCTTGTTTATATATTAGAAGTTTCTGAAACATTTTGTGAAAAGTAAAATGAGATATTAATATCATTCGACCTCATTTCCTGTCTTAACTAATTCCAAGCATAAGGTCGGGTCGGGACAAATACATTGGCTAACAGAGTTCCCACGAGTACCTCAACGTACTCTCCATGACAGATTACAACCACTTCCCCTTCTCCTCGTTATTTGCTTGAGGGCTATGCTCCTCCTTTTCAAGGAGCAAATTGGGGTGCGATCATTGTAAGAAACTTGGTTATGTGAAGAGAATATGTTGAAAAGTACACGACAAACCTGCAAGTTGGAAGCTATCTTATGATAGATATGATAGGGAGGATCATGCAAATACTACTATTGCAATCAACAACAATGTAGAAATCATTCGGTTTATCAAGAAGCAAATTCGGGCACTGTAGAAAATGTTTGGTCATATCTCTAGTTCTAAACAAGTATCACAATCCTCTAGAACACAACAAGATAACTCATCACACGCTCTTATTGTCAAAAGTAATAAACCAAAACTTTTGATAGTTGACTTCGGAGCCTCGGATCCTTCAATAGGAGACATCAACAACTTCAAAAATTACAACCCATATACAAGTCACTGCAATTCCAATAACAAATAATTCATTCTCATCGATGATAGAAATTAGATCAAAAGAATTGACAAAAGATTTTAACATTTATCGTGTTTTTTATGTTACAGAATTAGACTGAAATTTACTATCAATCAACAATAGTCATGGCACAAAAAATTGTGACTAAATTCTATTCAAATATTTATGATTTTTTGATAGTAGATTCGAGAAAGATCATTAGTAGAGCTAAGATGATGACAGTTGATATTTGTTCAAAGAAAATATTTTCATTGGTAGAAAAATTCATCCATCAAGTTGCATTTCTGAGTTTAGTACAAATTTAGTCAATCTAATTTCCAATTCTAGGTATATTTCACTTGAGAGTTAAGTCATGTTAAGACAATGTTGCCTTGGTCATGTAAATTATGTGTATATTGAAAAGATATTTATACATTTATTTATCAATAAAAAGTTCAATTTCTATCAATGTAACTTGCAAAACATACTAAACATGTATACGATAAATTGCAATATAAGCCTTCACATCCTTTTGTTGCAATTCACTCTGATAGATGGGAACTCTCACAAGTAAAAGATAAACATGGAGTATGATTATTGAAATATTCATAGATGGCCATACAAGAATAATTTAGACATTACTTGTGAAGAAAAATTCAAAATAGCCACCATATTTCATCCTTTCATTTCATAATCTTCATTCAATTCCAAAACCAAATTCAAGTTCTTAAAACAGAAAATTTTACTAAATATTTTAGGGTGTGTTTGGGGCAGCTTAATGCCCGCGATGCATTTTGAAAACACGGCTCGTCGCGCTTTGTTGGTACGTCTCGTTTTATTGGTACGTCGCAGGGGGATTATTCTAATAATCCGATCTAATTTTGGATTAAACCTCGCAGCCCGCGTTCCATGAAGGAACTATTACCCCGCTGCCCCCCAGACGCTCTCTCGACTCTTGCTTGCCCTAGTTGCGATCGATCTCGCGAAGGTTGCGCTCCTCTCCCTCACCCACGTCTCTCTCGCCCTTAGTGTTGCATTTCTCCTCTCCCTTCTCACTCAAAGCTCTGTTTATTGTGCTCTGTAAGTAAATTCATGTGGTTGTTGATGGACTAACTTTCCTTATACGATTTTTGGCTCTTTGTTTTGCAATTTATTGCAAGATTTTCATCATATTGGTGATTTCTGATTTATCATTTGAGATCTTGTTTATTTTGGATTTGGATCTTGCAACGAAAAAAAAATGCAAAATGTTTTGGATATTGGATGAAATGTTGATTTGTTGAATATCAATATCATAAATGGATGTTAGGTGTTGCTTCAATAGTAGTTTACAACATTTAGAGGGCCTTATTTGAAAAATGGATGAGCTCGAGTGCTTGATTTGTGCATGCCATTATTTCGGATATCTTGTGTGAAAAATGGATGAAATCAGGTGGTTCATTTGTATCTTGTTTGAAAACTCGATAAGCTTGCTACTTCTAGTTTAAATGATGATTCAACATTGAGTAGTTTTAAGTGACAAGTGAATTTGGTGCTTCATTTGTATGTAAAGGTTCAACACTGAGTATTTTGGACTTTTTGTGAGCCTCATCTCAAAATTAAAGTCGTTTTTTTTTATGTTTCAACTATGAAATTGAAGTTTGGATGGAAAAGCATGCTTCGCTCGTACATAGCAACTTTTCGGGCGCATTGTATGTAATTGCTCCAAATGAAAATTATATGTTGGGGTTTGTTCACTTCCTTTGATGTTTGAGTTGTAATTTCAAAAAACAGATGAGATAGGGTGCTTCATTTGTTCATAGCTTTGTCTCGGCGGACATGTTTATAATTGCATCATCTCAAAATTACATACAACTTCTTTTTGTTTCATCTATGAATGTGGGAAGTTTGTGAATATGTGGTGGAGGATGGGTGGTGGTTGCAGTGGGGGATGGGTAGTGGATGTAGTGGGGGTTGTGATAGTGGTTGTGATGGGGTTTGGGTGGGGGTTGTGGTGGGGGTAGATTGATGGTTGTGTTGGGAGTTGGATGGTGGTTGTGATGGGTGTTGGGTGGTGGCTGTGGTGGGCGTTGGGGGGTGGCTGG